ATGTGTTGGATAGTTCAACCCATGAGTCTTTAACTGTCGAGACCCATAAGCTACCACCCATTCATTCTGCATCAAAACACACCCTAAACCTTCTCGCGAAGCATCACAATAGACCACGTAACCTAAACCACGTTCAGGTATGATCAAAACTGGAGCTGATGTCAACCTAAACTTCAACTCCTGAAAAACATAATTACAAGCCTCATTCCATATGAACTTGACTCCCTTGCGAGTAAGTCGAGTCATAGGTGCCGCTATATGAGAGAAATCCTGAACAAATCTCCTATAGTAGCCGGCTAGGCCAAGAAAGCTCCGAACCTCAAACACTGTCTTCGGACGCTCCCAATCCATTACAGACTTAATCTTCGATGGATCCACTAGAACACCTCCCCCTGACACAACATGTCTAAGGAACTTCACCTCCGGTAGCCAAAATTTGAATTTATCGAACTTGGCATATAATCAGTTATCCTTAAGGATCTATAAAATTGCTCTCAAGTGATACTCATGCTCCTCCCTCGAAGCTGAGTACACGAGAATGTCATCAACAAACACCACCACAAAGCTATCAAGATAGTTACTGAACACACAGTTCATCAAATCCATGAAAGCCGCTGGAGTATTGGTCAAACCAAATGGCACCACAAGAAACTCATAATGGCCATACCGTGTACGAAAAGTGATCTTGGATACATCCTAATCCTTAACCCTCAACTGATAGTAATCTGATCTCAAATCAATCTTCGAAAAGCATATCCACTACAAGAAAAATGACTTTTTACCACGATGGAAAAGCCTTTCTACCACGGTTTTGAACAGTGGTAGAAACAACCGTGGTAGAAAGTCGAGACTTTCTACCACGGTTTTGCACCGTGGTAGAATGTCGACCTTCTACCACAGTTTTGCACCGTGGTCGAAAGTTGTTCTTTCTACCACGGTTTTGCACCGTGGTAGAATGTTGACCTTCTACCACTGTTTTGCACCATGGTAGAAAGTTGTTTTTTCTACCACGGTTGTACACCGTGGTAGAAAGTCTATTCGGAGAAGAAAATTAGACTTTTTACCACGGTGCATAACCATGGTAGAAAGTATTATATAATTTTCTTTTAAAATAATACTTTAGCCCTTATGAAGGCTCTTTTTTTTATTTATTTATTTTTTTAACTACTACTAACCTTACAGAACCCTAAATAAATAAATAAAAAATAGCATTATAACCAAAATAATTTACAATTCATATATATATATATATAACCAATTCCAAATCATTGTTTTATACAAAAATTAACCATATACAAATTTGAAAAAAGTACATAATCCACACCTTACATATTTACTTAACCAAAATAAAACAAAAATTCTTCATATCTTCTTGAAACTTCTTCTTTATCAACCATACAAAAAATATAGTGGCAACAAAAAAGGTAACTGCAACCCGTAATCCTAGCTTTGACCTACAAAGATAGTTGAAGTAAGAGAATTAATGTAAAGCATTATAAAGGTACTTTGAAAGATCTACTCTTCGTCTTAACTCAAGCAAAGCAAGTATTAATATGGTCTTAACTCAAACAAAGCAAGTTCAGTGTATCAAGGGAATTGCCGAAAAGCATCTAAAACCCTCTTGGTATAATACAGTAGTCTGAAGTTCAAAAGAAAACACTTCAAGTTACTAAAAGGTGTTAGATGCAAAAAATCCATCTACCTAGTTGATGCAGCAAGGACTAGTAGGCTTATCCCATCAATTTTCTAGTAGTTTCAACCTAGCGTTGAATTAACAATTACAAACTAATTGTAATAATCACTTCATTTATTTGCTTAAGAGACACAATATCATGATCATAATGGTGATCATTTACCAACTTGTTGCAATAAACAAATTGAATCTGTCGCCTATGTATTTACTTTAGGGCATGTAATAATTTTCATGCTCTAATCATGTCACTAGCCCTTCTTTTACAGAAAAAAAGCAGGGTACTAAACAGTTTCTTGACATGAGAGGAAACACAACAGAGATCAACGAGAAAGCAAAGCCAGTAAGTGCGGTATCAAAGTTGACTACGTTATACATGTAAAAGCATTCAATTTCAAATGAATATCATAAAGGGACAATAAGTGGTTATAAGAAGGAACCCAATCATGCACGTCACTCATTTGGCAAATCCTTTAATGATAATTTGAAATCAGTTAACCAAAATTTGATTAATCAAGAATTCCAACTTGAGCATCCATGTACCGAAAACACTTGGAAATCAAAAGAAGTGCATCTGGGCAATTACCAACCATACACAATTGCTAGTAAAGTACCAACACCATATGGTTCTAAAACCTCATTTGCATACACTGGAAATCAAAAGAAGTGCATCTGGGCAGTTACCAAAGTTTATACACAATTGCTAGTAAACAAAGATCAACAAAATATAGTTCTAAGACCTCATTTACTACATTAGTAGCTCAATATTCATTCAAGCATATTTGCAAACACTTCATGACCACCAGCACACAAAAACCTTGCATATATACAAATTAGAAAAACTCTTGATAAACCCATAACAACTATGCATATACTAGTACATGACACACACAAAAACACAGACAAGCTATTTCATAGGTTGTTCGAGCAATGTAAGATGGGGAATTACTTAGAGTTGTCGCCATAGGATATATTTATTATCCAATTAATAAAAAAAGAGGACCATCCCTACTATATAAACCTTTTAGTGTGTTGATAGAACATTCATACCGTCCTCTAACAAAAATCAAACTTTGAATGAAATTATTTTGATTCAACATCTTTATCTCAACTTGTCCACTTGTATCTATAATATCAAATAAGTCATTTTCGTCTTTGGTAAATCTACCAAGGGCTTAATTATATATAATACACAGAAAATGCCCTAACTAATAATGAACGCCGTTGAATTTACAATAAAAGTAAATTTACGAGACCACCAGTGACTTATGCATATTTCTGTACTTTTTGAATCAACGTTCACCTTAAATAATTTGCAAGTAGATAATTGTTTGATGGAAACTACACTGTGGGCCCAAGGGATTGTAGGTGAGATTTCCAGAATATTCATTATCATACTGCACAATGACATGCTATTTCCTTTACTTTTTCATCCCAAAATTCTGGTTTGTAACCCCAAAAAATTCCATACCATTTTGGTGTTTTCGTTCAGACAATCAGCTGCTGTCCAACAACATATCCTTGGAAAGTCCAAATATTTTCAACTTTATAACCAAGCCTATCTAATCTTTTCCAGTCTAGAAAGCTCATACGTATCCATAGACAAAGCTCGCCAAATAATCAGCCATGGGTAGCTTATTCTGAATTATTAAGTGCAGTGACTGTAGTCCTACATCATTAGTAAGATACCTAGTGTTTGGGTATCTAAATTATGTTGTATATATACTGAATGTGTGCGCATGCATGTGAATGAGAAATATAATATTATGCTCTAGAGTCAAACATTATCGTATATCCAAGTGTAATGATATCCAACCAAAACTATGTTCACACAGAAGTCAACCATGACTTCCACTCGGATTATTTAATGCCAACAACAGGTAAACATTTGATTGCTCAGAAAATGAATTAGTTCACAAATGCCAATGAAAAATAAGAACATATAAATTCAGGACATCAATAAAATGTTTAGAAGCTTTTGAACACAAACTGTGTATTAAATAAGTGGAAGTCCAAAAAAGTAAGAAACCATAACACTCAGAAAAGGCATATAATGGAAGTAGATTACACAAAAATAGATAAATACAACAAATACCTCATGTTTGTAAACTTCAAGCAAAAGTAGAACGGCGTTCATTATGGAGAAACCCATCTCATAAATTGCCTTAATAATGAAAATGCCCTAACTAATCGTTCAACATCTACAGAAAGCAGCATGAGGAGCAATAATGGGATGACAAAAATAAGTTATTCTAGGCTTTGAAACAACAAAATCTAAATGGTGAGACACAAAATAGTGGGATTCTAGGCTTTACTAAATATTTAAACCCACTAAATATTCAAACCCACTAAACTACTAAAGTGTTGATTTTGATAGACACTAATTAAAAAAAAATGGTCACTTAAGGCACACGACCCCCTATACACCGCAAAATTGGTCACTTAAAGGCACGTGATCCCCTTGAGCATGAGTATAAAAAGCATTAAAAATGTGTAATCATAAAAGAAATGCGTCACTTACAAATTTTGATGTACTTGATAGGCCATGCAATTAAAAATCCTGTAACAAATCCGTCTTTCAAGTCAAAGCCACGAATTTCAGGCCTATACAAAGGCGCACTTGAATCAATGAGATCAGTGATCCACACTCTCCAACAGTCAGAACCAAGTGGAGCAGAACCTATGAGAGAATCTGGATCCACTGAATCAATCATACCCTTTGCGACAACTGATTTTGTCCCATGAAAATGCAATAGCTCACAAGACTTGCCGACCAAATCTTCAGAAGGTGAGACTTGATGTGAAGCAATGGGAGAGGACTGGTTGTTAGCACTCTGTCCAAAGCACAATAATGGAAAAAAAGAAAGTAAATAATGCTTCTCATAATTAGTGTTATAATTAGAGAGATATCGTATCAAATTTATAGAGATTTATTACCAAAGATTGAATTAGTTGCATCATTTCATCTTGCCTTTCCTCTTGTCTTTGGAATTTCTCATTCATTTCTTGATATTGTTGTTTCAATTCATTAATAGTCCTCTCATGTTTATGAGAAGCACCAGCATTCCGGAGATTCAGTGATGTCATTGTTACCCCAAACCCAAGCCATCTCACTCTTCCTCCATGTTCAGGACCTACTACAGCGGTGAGTGCATCATCACTCTATCCTGAACTCTGAGTTGTCTTGCTATACTCTTGCATTTTTTTCTGAAAAAATAATATTTGTAAAGTATAAAATGCATATAAAAATAATCAGCTACTTAAACTCAAAGGGAAATATATCTTACCACGGTCTCCTCCACCGTTTTATTTATATATGTTTCATCCTTTCTAGTATGCCCTGCAATCCACACGTCGACTCTTGAAATTGATATTTATTCTCTTTCTCCTTTGGGTGCAAATCGCTCCTGATGCCCATTTCTATCAAATCCATACGAGCCTTAAGTCCATCCTTTGATTTTCCCTTAATATTTAATAAAGTGCCGAGAATACTCTCACAAACATTTTTTTCAATGTGCATTACATCCAAATTGTGACGGATGGGTAATACCTAATATTAACAGCAAAAAATAATTATTAGCAAGGAGTGTGAATTCCTAAAAGAAATATTAATGGCCAAAGAAATTAAAGATAAGAATGAATTCAAATTTCGTACCTCCCAGTATGGCAACTCAAAAAATATAGATTTTTTCTTCCATGGCCAAAATGGGTCTTTTCCTTCTTGGGATTTCTCTTTCTCTTGGGGAGGTTTTCTTTGGGACCTCTTCCGCTTATTGGAAGATTTTTCTTGGGATTTAGGACTCTTTCCCCAATTATTTTTAAAATTCTTTACACGATCAAAAATTTCTAAACCAGATAATATTCTAGGTGGCAGCCTGAATTCTTCTTTTCCATCAAACCATGCTCTCTTCTTTCTTAATGGATGATTGTATAGAAGAAATCGCCTGTAATCCCTGTACACAGTCTTCTGACTACATGGCAACTGCTGAGAAGATGTGTCATTAGCACACACTGGACAACCACACTTACCCTTTGTTGCTTGGCCAGTAAGATTTGAATAGGATGGTAAATCATTAATTGTCCACATCAAAACCACTTTCAAATTAAACATGGATTTAGTTAATGAGTCATAGATCTCAACACCTTTTTCCCACAACTCCTTTAAATCTTCAATGAGTGGCTCCAAAAACACATCAATGTCATTCCCTGGTTGCTTTGGTCCTGAGATCAACAATGTCAACATCATATTCTCTTTAGACATGCATTGTAAAGGGTTAAAATTGTATACAACTAAATTCACTGGCCAACAACTATGTTTACTGCTAAGGTCACCGAATGGATTAAACCCATCGGCTGCCAGCCCAAGTCTCAAATTTCGAGGATCTGTTGCAAAACACGGCCACTTTTTATTTATCATATCCCATGCAAGTGAATCAACTGGATGTCGCATCTTCTTATCTTCACTTTTGTGAGTCGAATGCCACAATATTTGCTCCGCCTTTTCTTTTGATCGAAAAAACCGCCTAAATCTTGGTACTATTGGAAAGTACCACAACACTTTAGCCGGAACCCCTTCTCTAACCACATTAGACTGCGCATTTGTTTTCCACCGTGAAGTACCACATTTAGGGCATGCTTTCAGATCCTTGTTTTCTTTTCTAAACAAGCAGCAATCATTGGCGCACGCATGTATTTTTTCATACCCTAAATCAAATTTCTTCAATAGCTTCTTTGTTTCATAAATTCCCTTAGGAAGACTGTTATCCGATGGAATCGTGACACGAATAATGTCAAGAAGCTCATCATATCCAATGTCGGATAGGTTATGAGCAGCTTTATGCTTATATAAAGTAACTATTGCCGACATAATTGTAAAAGTCGAGCAACTAGGATATAATGGAGTTTCAGCGTATTCCAATGCCTGTTTGCACCCATCCTCTCTATTTCCACTGGTAGGCTCTGTATAAGCATTGTCTTCACCATCAAAATTATATGCATCCCTAAAAATTTCATACGTCTCAGGTATTTCCACACCATCATCACCATCATTTTCTAAAGTTGCACTCCAATTCTCTCCATGTAAGACCCATACAGCGTACTCAGAATTCATTCCTTTTATCACAATGTGCTCATACACCTTATTGAAGCGTTGATATATTGAATTTTTACAACAGATACAAGGGCATAAAATGCTTTCTCGATTCCCCGCATTAAGTTTAGCCCAATTAACAAAACGTTGTGCTCCAGCTTTATACTCATCTGAAGCTCTACAATTGAAAATTAATAAAAATATTTTTTATTATCACAAAAATGACAAGAACAATGTCTATAAGTAAGGTTATTTAAAGTTAAAATAACCTGTCATTAAGGTGCATCCAGCCTTTATCCATTAATTATCCTGAGTAGCACCATATTAGTTGACATTAGCGTTAGCATAATTAATGTGACATTAGCATAATTAATAAACCTCTCATTTCTTTATCAATATTTTTTCAATTTCCTGGATCATTAATGTAAAAAGAAGATTATCATTCTCATTCATATATATTCTTCATTTTATCAAATCTTCAAGTTCATTCACATTTTCTTCATTTTGATTCTCATTCCTATCTTCATTCTGATTCTCATTCCTATCTTCATTCATTAAATCTATATGTTCATTAAGATTTTCTTCATTCCTATGTTCTTCATTCACCAAAAGATTATCATTCTCATTCATATATTCTCCATGTTCACTCGGGCTACACATATGGATGGATAAAAAGAAGACGAAGAAAAGAAAAGAAAAGAAGTTTAATATAAGAAAATTACAAGTTATTGCAAACTTGTGCTTGTTAGAAACAACACAGGGCTAGTGTCATGGCATAATCATAAACTATCCAGAATTGACAATGAGGCCAATTTTACTAATCAAAATTTTAATAAAGAAAAAGACAAAAAAGAAATGAGGCTAATATTACACGCTTAAACTCTCAAAGAATATAAGAATGCACATAGAATTAATGTACTATAAAAAAATACTAAATACATCATACATATTCATATTTCCATAATTTATTCTCTCGTGATAGATAATCAAAAGGATGCCATGATAGAGGTCACATGGTCTACGGACATCAGGAAAACAAAACAATAAATAAATAAATAAAAATAAAACATTTTTATAATTTCATCCAAATTTCATTGTGGTGTATTAACACTCGTAATACATAATACTTCTATATCCATACATTTTTTAAGTGATCAACACAGCTAAACTTTGATAGGTTTGGCGATGCTCTTTTAGACTCTTTGTAACTGGCATTGGGGCCACCAACCGATAATTGTTTAGATAAAGATTTAGTTGTGTCCTCCTTTCAAGTCAGATAGTATTTCAAGAAACCTTTGCATGTTGAGCTGCAAAGAGTTTATGCATATTATATAAATTTTGCAGATCAAGAAGCAATTTCATCATGCCGAAATTGTTGGATGGCGATTTCCTATATGTAGGGTGCCTGCGAGAGGTTTGGTTATTGAGGTAGGTTGCTACATCTGGTTATAATGAACGGGAATGGTTTATTGTATTTGTGTCTAAAGCTCAACCCACAATGATCAGGCCACCAAGCTGGCCAAAAAAGTATATGCAAAACTTGAAGTTGATTTCAATTCAAAGAAGAGGGAAAGGTAAGCCTGCTGCTGCCAATTATATGGCTTCTTTTGTTTTTCTTAATTATAGATTGAGTTTAATTTTTGAATAATCTAGTTCATGTATCATATATCCACTAGATACTCTTCCTTTCAGAACAATTATCTTTTTCTTTTTCCCGTGAAATTCAGAATAGCTATCTTCATTAAGATCTGAGTGTCATCATTTAAATTTTGTAAGAGAAAAATAGGAAATTGTAAGTGTCACTAAGTTACGTAGAGGATTATTTTAAAAGGTAATCAATTTTCAAAAACTTGATTTTCATCACTTCATCAATCATCATCATCATCATCATAATCATCTTTATCTTATTCTTCTTTTCCTTTCCGGTGTAATTACCCCTTTCTATTTCATTGCATTTCTGCTAGTTCCTCGTTCTGCCTAGATTCCTTTCAAATTGAAATGGCTCTTTGCCCTGGATCTGAATCTCAACAGTGTTGTGTTTGAGTCATCTAAAAGATTTTAGCCCGCGATTTTTACAAAAAGCATCATATTTTGAGTAACATGATTTCATAAGGTTAAGGTCAAGGGTGATTTTAAAAGATTTTGATAAACTAAAGGGAAATATAAAAGGAGTACTTACAAAAGCCCCTTGTTCTCCCTGATGGTCTAAATTTTTTTTTTTTTATTTTTTTTTTTCACTCAAGTGCTGCAAATTTGATATACATGGACCTGAAGCAAATTTCTGGGATGACTTGGAATCCAAAATAGTGGAATGCATCAGGAACACATTTGACAGGCGTATTCAGTTTTATGAGGATGAGATTCGCAAGCTCAGTGAACAGCGCTTCATGCCCATTTGGAACTTTTGCAACTTTTTCATTCTAAAGGTAGTTGCAGGGGTAAAACTATCTTTATAGTGACTAAGAGATTGTTATCTACAGGCGCTTGCCTGTAAGGAGATATCTTACTTCAGTATTGTGGATTTTTTTTTTTTTTGGCCGGAAATTCGTATTGCGGATTTTCATGCTCCCTGCTCATGTAAACTTAGTTGAATTATATAGCATATCTATAGAAGTTTTCAACAGAAAAGAAATAATATGCCTCCCATTGAACATAGGTGGTGGCCAACTAACATTAACTCGTGTCCTCTCAGCTATGTGTTCATAATTACATAACATTCTTATTCAGAGTATTTTCTTTCTAGAATATTCCGAGTTATCTAGTGTTTTTTTCTCTATTTATAGGAAAGCTTGGCTTTCATGTTTGAGATGGCTCATCTTCATGAAGATTCATTACATGAATATGACGAATTGGAACTCTGCTGTTTGGAAACAGGTGCTTAATGTTTATGTTTCATCTCTTTTTGCCGTCAATGTTTATTATGGTTATTCCAATTATGTTTCGAATTCCAGTTGCTTCTGAAATGTAATAGGTATCATTTACCTGTCAACTATTAATGGTGTCTCTAGAAATTTGACTGGTCTTAGCCTGTTTGTCTTTTATGCATATGACTTATGGTAGCGCTCTTAAGGGGAAGAAAATCCTTAATGACTAAATATAAAGATAAGAACATCGTTCATTTCTCTGTCATTTGAAAAGAAGGATAGAAGCTTTGGAAAGTAATTATGTGGGAAAAGGTTCATCTCAACAAATTAAGGACAATAACAATGTCGGGAAACATTTGCTAAACAAAAAGACAGAGATAGGTGATTGGCCCAGAACTATGCATTGTAAACTAGAATGACAAAAACCAAACCCTCTCTTTAGATTTATTGTACAACTGAAGAAAGAGCAAAGATTCACTAAACCACCAATAAAAACCTTAAAGATTGGCTAATCAAACCAATAAAACCCCAAATAACAAACCACATTCCCCAAAATTAGAGTCGAGAACGAGAATAGAGATGGAGGTGATTAGGGAGGCTGAAATGATTGAAGAATGACTTACCAGTATAAGGGCCTTCAACTTGTTTAAGACTCAAATTCAACCCAAATTTACGAATTAGTCTTTCAAATCCTGCAAAGGGAGACCCTGTTTTACCAAATAGGATTTAGTTTGTAAAACAAGAATTACAGACCTTATTAATTGATTTAGAAAAAAAATAATAAAACAAAACCCATACATACAAGTTCGCAGCTGCAGATAGATGGCTTGAGAGTTGAGAGACCCCGGGACTGAGGCTGAAGCTTGCGAACGGCGAACCCCATCGAACTGGAACAGCGGGATTTGGAAACTGAAGGATATGGGTTTTGATTTTGAACAATAATATATGATATGGGTTCTGATTCTTGTAGATTTTGTAGTTTACACTTGCAGAGACAGAGAGAGGGCAACTTCAGAGCAGAGAACGAGAATAGAGATGGAGGCGATTTGGGATGCTGAAGTGAGGAGAACGAAAATAGAGATGGGGTGATTTGGGAGGCTGAAATGATTTTCCCTAAACTTCATTTTAATCGTGTGGTCTGTGTACGTGCGAGGCTATATATATTTCTGTATATAAAATATTTTTTTTTAATTTTTTCTTTAAGAAACTAGCGGGAATAAAACCCGCTTTTTATATTCACTTTCTACCACGGTGCTCCACCATGGTAGAATGAATTACTGTCATGGTTTTCCATTAACCGTGGTAGAAAAAGCGGCACAAAGCGCGCGATTTTATCCCGCTAAAACTTAGTAAAATTACCTCACTTTCTACCACGGTTAATGGAAAACCATGGTGAAATAAATTAACATTCTACCACGGTGCTTTTATAACCGTGGTAAAAAATATAATTACTACCACGGTTTTAAAATAATCGTTGTAGAAGAAACTTTCTACCACGGTTTTGAAATAACCGTGGTAAAATTTGAAATAACCGTGGTAAAATATATACTTTCTACCACGGTTATTTTATAACCGTGGTAGAAAGGGCGTGGTAAAAAACTGTTTTTCTTGTAGTGATCGCTCCCTTCAACTGATCAAACAAGTCATCAATCCTAGGCAAAGGATACTTATACTTGATCGTAACGTGATTTAACTTGCGATAATCGATGTAAAGTCTCAAAGACCCATCCTGGTTCTTCGCAAAAAGAACTAGTGTTCCCCATAGTGAAGTACTAAGACAAATAAAGCCCTTAACTTTCAAATCATCCAACTGACCTTTTAGCTCATCGAGCTCTGCCGGTGCCATACGGTACGGTGCCATAGAGATGGGTGTTGTACTGAGAATGACATCAATGGCAAAAATAACTTCCCTTAACGGAGGTAACTCTGTCAGTTCCTTTGGAAAGACATCAACAAAATCCTCAACAACTATCGAAAAAACACAGCCCAAACTGCTATATTCACCAATTAGCAAACTAGGCAAGTAGGATCTGTGGCGACTCCAGTCACCAATGCTAAAAACCATCGCTGGGTGGGAATCACTCCGATCTCCCACAAAATGGAAACAATCTCCCTTGGGAATGCAAACGAACACCCTCCCGCGGAAGCAATAGATCA